CCGCCCGCCTCGGCCTCCCAAGAGCTAGGATTACAGGCGTGAGCCACAGCGCCCGGCCAAGAGAGGACAGGAATTTAATGAGCAGCTCTAGCCCTATTTTCTGGAAACCAGCTTAAATCTCCCCTGCAGTTCAGTCTGATCCTGACTGTGGGAGTCTTTGTTCCAAAAACCCAGAAACAGAACTAAAGAGTCAAAAGGACTTTAGGGTCACACACACCCTAAAGTAGTTAGGATTCTCCCTGAGTTAGAATTCTCCCTGAGCCTCAGTTTGTTGCCCTATGTCATTATCCTTTATCAAAGGCACAGAGGGCTAAATGAGAGATATATGGAAGCCTCTGGGATAATCCTTCTCCAGCCATCTAGCACAGGATGGTCTTGCTCTGGCCCACCTCCCTTCTTTTCTGGGCATAAACTAAACTGTTTCTCTACCAGCCTCTCCCTGTTCCCAGAGTCTATCACAGGGGGTCCTGCAGGCCTTGCGGGACCATTGAAGGAGAAATAGGTAGGGGTCTGGGATGGGTGGGCCTGGGAGGTACTGCACACAAAGAAGGAATTCCAGATGTCTGCCAGATGCTAGTCCTGGGAGGCAAGAAGGGTTTGGGAGTCAATTCCAGGGGGCTGTGGTAGGGGGAGGGGAAGAAGTTATCTCATAGCCCCCTGCCCCCACTCTGCTGAGGCTCAAACTAGCAATCTGGACTTTACCCCCATCCCTACCTCCACCTATACTTGATTACTTGAATCAGACTCCAGATTAGGGTAGCTGCTGGGTATATGACCTGGGACAAGTCACCTGTATCACTGTGCCTCATTTTTTCTTGTCAAAGGATAAAATTATAAGCACCCTGCATTCTGCAACACAGGAGGAGAGCTCCCGCAGGGCAATAGCAGAACAGTGAATTTTGTAAGGTAGGAACAAGAAAACAGAACAATAGAAAAAAACCTGACTAACATCAGGTTACTTTAGGTGACTTTTTGTAAGGGTTAAAGAGTGGACTTCCTTCTTACACTGACTCCAGTAGACTGGAAAAATTTTCAGGAAAAAGTGGTCTGTTTCAGGATCTATTTAATATCTGCTTCCTTAAAGTTTCAGTTTGATTATGTGGCATTTAGCAAGAATGACTCCATTTTGGTTTGGTCTGGTCTGTTGGGGCCTAGTGCAGGCACTCAGTCTCAAATAGTGGCCTCTCAGAATTTTTGTCTAACTATCTAAAATGGGGATAAGGAGAATACCTCTTCCTTCTCACAGGATGATATAACACAGATAAAGTACTTAGTACACTGCCTGGCAAATAACAAGTGTTCAAAACATGTTAGCAATTATTACCTCTGCTCTTTTCTGGGACATTCCTTCCCTCTCAGTCTCCTAAATCCCTTCCTCCAAAACCAGTTCAAAATTCCCCTCTCCAAGGAGTCTTCTCTGACAGTTTTTTTTTCACTGAACTTCCCTCAAGTCTATGGAAGTATATTTGCATATGCGGATGAGTTCCTTTTATAAGTATTCTTTGGGAGTTTTCTCCTGGGTGGTGAGTATTTCCTCTCTTTCTGCTGAGTGGCAGGGGGAGGGGAGATCTTGAAGGCTCTGTGTCTCCATCATCAATCTGGGCTCTTCGGAGAAAAGACAGTGTCTCTTTTCTCTTGAGGGCTGACTGAGCAGAAGGGGGCTGAACTGAAAGTGTGGCTCTGGATTTGGGGTTTGGAGCTGGCTAGGTTGGAGCCCACTGGGAATTTCTAGATGAGGCTGGGCCAGTGCCAGGCTACTCAGCTGGTTAGGCCTGGGCCAAGAGGCTCTGTTTACCTTGAGGTTTACCACTGGCAGGGGCTGGCCAGTCCTTTTTACTAGGGAAACCAGCCTTGAGTTGGAGGAGGCCAGGAAAACGCAAAATGTCTCATACAGCTAAGCCTCCAGGTGGCCCCTGACAAAGGTGGAGGGTCACCTGGCTAGAGCTGGGAGGAAAGCAAGGGAGGTTCCAGAGGGGAGCAGCTCAGGATCAGAGATTAATGCCTAAATCTACTTAGAAATTTCCTATAGCAATCTGGCAGTTCTGTATCCATCAAAAATTTAAAAATGTACATACATTTTAACTCAGCAATTTAACTTCTAGAAATACTGAATTCAGTTCCACAATTGTGCAAAGGGTTATTTATTGGACAGGGTTATTTATTGTAATATTGTATAATATTGTTTTTACTTTTTAAAATTATTTTTGGGGAGCGCCCGTCACGGGGAGCCAGGGCCTGATTGACCACGTCTCAGTATTGTTTTTTTTTTTTTTTGAGACAGAGTCTGGCATTGTTGCCCAGGCTAGAGTGCCCTGGCGTCAGCCTAGCTCACAGCAACCTCAAACTCCTGGGCTCAAGCAGTCCTCCTGCCTCAGCCTCCCGAGTAGCTGGGACTACAGGCATGCCCAGCTAATTTTTTCTATATATATTAGTTGGCCAATTAATTTCTTTTATGCTGGTTTCAAACTCCTGACCTCAAGCAATCCACCCGCCTTGGCCTCCCAGAGTGCTAGAGTTACAGGTGTGAGCCACCGCACCCGGCCTTTTTTTTTTTTGAGACAGATTCTCGCTCTGTTGCCTGGGCTAGAGTGCCATGGCGTCAGCCTAGCTCACAGCAACCTCAAACTCCTGGGCTCGATCCTACTGCCTCAGCCTACCTAGTAGCTGGGACTACAGGCATGTGCCACCTTGCCCGGCTAATTTTTTCTATATATGTTTAGTTGGCCAATTACTTTCTTTCTATTTTTAGTAGAGACAGGGTCTCACTCTTGTTCAGGGTGGTTTTGAACTCCTGACCTGGAGCGATCCACCCGCCTAGGCCTCCCAGAAAGCTAGTATTACAGGCGTGAGCCACCACGTTGGGCCTCAGTATTGTTCTTAATAGAAAAAACTGGCAGCAGTCTAATGGAATGGAATGATATACACCTATGAGGGAAATGAAGTTGGTCTAGGTGTACTGATATGGAAATATCACTAAGATATATTGCTAAGTTTTAAAAAAGTGAGGTGAGGCCGGGCGCGGTGGCTCACGCCTGTAATCCTAGCACTCTGGGAGGCCGAGGCGGGTGGATTGCTCCAGGTCAGGAGTTCGAAACCAGCCAAGAGCGAGACCCCATCTCTACTATAAACAGAAAGAAATTAATTGGCCAACTAATATATATAGAAAAAATTAGCTGGGCATGGTGGCGCATGCCTGTAGTCCCAGCTACTCGGGAGGCTGAGGCAAGAGGATCGCTTGAGCCCAGGAGTTTGAGGTTGCTGTGAGCTAGGCTGATGCCATGGCACTCACTCTAGCCTGGGCAACAAAGTCAGACACTGTCTCAAAAAAATAAATAAATAAATAAATAAAATAAAAAAGTGAGGTGAAGAATATTGTGGAAAGCATAATTTTATTTGGGTAAATAAAATTATATATGTGTTTATATATACATTGAAAATATCTGAAAGGAACTGTAAATAGAGGGGGAGGAAGACTTCATATTTTTCCTTCTATTTGAAAAGTTTAAAACTATGGACATGTGTTATTTTCATAATGTAAAAAATGAGCTTAATTTAAAATTATTAATTATGGACCTTGAACTATATTTCTCTGTGTTCATTACCTCTTGCAAAAATGCAACTTTGTAATTATTCATTTTCACACATGCCCTGCACCCTCCTCACCCCTGTCACTTTGTCCCCATCTCACTGATGGCAGGCATACCTGTCTATACAAGTTTGTGTGAGAATGTAATTTTTGTAGATAGAGATAGATTCTCAACAGCTTCAGGGAACTCAGTGGTCAGAACTCTAGAAAAACTAAATCTCTGGACCAAATGGAAAGATAGTGTGTTGTGGTGAGAAGTCCTAGCCCATCTCTGCTGTCACTAGTTGCATGAACTTGGGTAGATCCCCTCCCATCTCAAGTTCTTAGTTTCCCCATCTATAAACTGAAGTCTAGATAGCTCAGCTAGAAGAGTGGGTTGCAAAATGCCTTCCACAGAGTCTAAGAGAGGTGATGGTGAGGGTGGGGAAGGCAGTTCAGGGAAGGGAGGCCCAGGTTCTCCAATCCAGAGCAGCTCCGCTTTCATCTTTACATGGCCTGGGTTCTGTGTAAAATTTCATTGAAAACAGGGATCCATTGCATAGCTTTATTAAAAACCCCATGGACAACTGATTGTTAAAGGCTCTTCTAGTTCTAACACTATGTAATTCCAATATGACTTTTTGTTCACTTAATTAATCTAAATCAGGGTATGCCTGTATTTGTCTTTCATTTCCCCACAGAGCCCAGCCCAGGGCTACATAAGAATTCAAGCCTACTGGGGCTGACCCATGGTGAGTGGGGAGGTGGTGTACAGCCTTTCAGTCTTTTCACTCCTTATGTGACACCCTCCACCCACCTCCTGACCTAGTGGTGTGACTGACTGATCTGTTCTTAAGTCTCTGCCAGGTCCCCAGGCCTCCCCAACCGCCTCTTGCTAACACCAGTGGACTGCTGATGTCAGCTGCTGGAACTGGGGGTTGGCTTTAGTTTCCATGCCTGCTGGAGGCTTGGTCAGTAAGACCTGGACAAACATAACAATGAGACCCTCACTGTTCCCTCACCCCTATACTCTCAAGGTCCCACCATCCTTCCTCTATACCCCACAGAATAGAAGTTGTGAAGGGAGTGAGACGGAGTTTGTGGCCCTCCCATCTGACAGCAGAAGCCAGGGCTGGGCCCCTCTGCTCTTTTCAACTTCTACGAAGAAGGGGAGGCAAGACTGGATTGAGTATCTGTATTTATTTATTTATTTAGAAATGGTTTTGCTATGTTGCCCAGGCTAGATGGGATCTTTTGGGCTCAAGGGATCCTCCAGCCTCATCCTCCTGAGTTGCTGGGACTGCAAGCACCTGCCATCATGCCCAGATTGTATACATATATATATATTTGAAACAATGTCTCACTTTGTTTCCTGGGCATGAGATCAGTGGCTTGATTATAGCTCACTGCAACCTCAAACTTCTAGGCTCAAGGGATCCTCCTGCTTCAGCCTTTGAGAGTGCTGGAATTATAGGCATGAGCCACTGCATCTGGCCTGGATTGAGTATCTTCATGGTCCTCAGGCTACCTGAATGCTTATCCGTAGTATGTTTTACCTGGTCACTGTAGAATATGGAAGGTCATCACTGAGGGACTCTGTGTCAGAATCTTCCATCTACGAAGAGGAATAAAAAAGTATGTCTCTGACGTGTCTTTCCTCTGAAGCTATTCTGACAGCCGTCCCTCCTACTGATACCTCCATGGCCACCAGGGCTAGTTTGGGTCTACAGGGCCCCCTTCACAGATGATCTGAGATGCCAGGCAGATTGGAAAGGGGTGGAGTGGAGCTATGAACAAGTTATTCATTTGAAGAAAATAGAAAGCTATATCCTTCTGTTTAGGATTGAAGAAAACCATGGTGTTTCCCAAAGGCCTAAATGCTGTTTAAGTGTTTCTCTTTTTTTCCTTCTTTATCATGAAAGGAGAGAACCTACAGGAGCAGAGGGTGGGAGTTTTACAGAGTATAGAGAAGAATGTCAGAGTAGGTAGTTGGTTCTTTTCTCACTAGAGGAAAAAGCTAGCATGGGCTTTTGAAATCAAGCAGTCTGAAAGCCAAGAAGGGAGTTTTGACTTAATAGATTAAGATATAGGGCAAGTTTAAGGAAGTGTTCCATTCAAGGTTGGGAAAAAATAGGATAAAAAGGAACAATTAGTGACAGAGGGGCTGAAGTAAGAAAGTACCATATACAGAAAGTTTCCAATTAGAGCTGACCAAGAGTGAACATTCTTAGGGGATAGGGACTTCTCCCACTACTGGAATGTTCAAGAAGAGTCTGGATGACCATTCTCCCAGATATGTTGCAAGAAGTATCTCTCCAGAGTGAAGACTGGATTCAAAGAGCTACAAGATCCTTTCTAACTTTTTGATGTCCTGGTGATTTTACCTAGGAGTTTGCGTTTCTATAAATCTGGCTATAACTTGTTTATTGTATTCAAACACAGTCCTCTTTAACACTTATGTTTTACTAGTTTAACAGTGATTTTTTCAAAAGGCATAGTCAAATAGGAAAATGTATTATGGTCCCTGTCTGGAATAGCCTTTTCCTGGAATGTCCTCTGTGATGATTCATTTTCTGTGTCAACTTGGCTGGGCTATGGTGTCCAGTTGTTTGGTCAAACACTAGTTTAGGTGATGTGAAGGTATTTCATAGGTATGATTAGTATCTACAATCAGTTGACTTTAAGTAAAGGAGTTTATTCTTGATAATGAAGGTGGGCCTCATTCAATCATTTAAAGGCCATAAAAGCAAAAAACCAAGGTTTCTCAGAAGAGGAATTCTGCCTCAAGACTGTAACATAGAAATCTGCCCAAGTTTCCAGCCTGTTGCTCTGCTTTACAGATTTTGGACTTGTTGACCCATACAATTATGTGAGCCAATTTCCTTCCTTCCTTCCTTCCTTCCTTCCTTCCTTCCTTCCTTCCTTCCTTCCTTTCTTTCTTGACAGAGTCTCACTCTGTTGCCAGGGCTAGAGTGCCGTGGCATCAGTCTAGCTCACAGCAACCTCAAACTCCTGGGCTCACGCAATCCTTCTGCCTCAGCCTCCCTAGCAGCTGGGACTACAGGCATGTGCCACCATGCCCGGCTAATTTTTTCTATATATTTTTAGTTGGCCAATTAATTTCTTTCTATTTATAGTAGAGACAGGGTCTCACTCTTGCTCAGGCTGGTGTCAAACTCCTGACCTTGAGTGATCCGCCCACCTGGGCCTCCCAGAGTGCTAGTATTACAGGTGTGAGCCACTGCACCCAGCCAGTAAGCCAATTTCTTAAACTAAATCTATTATATATATATATATATATGTATATATATACATAACATATATATGTTCTGTTTTTCTGGAGAACCCTAGTACACCTTCTATTTCCAACAATAATTTTGTTGATTATAGTTTGTTAAGTGCCAATTATAAGTACTTTGCGTAATTTTCTCCTAATCTTTGCAAGAATCCTTAAAACTGAGGCAAACAAGGCTTGGAGGTGTTAGGTGATGTCTCCAAGATTGTGAATTTTGATTTATCTTTCAAGACTCAGCTCCAATGTCACCTCCCTTTACTTAATTTTTGATTTATTTGTTTATGAGATGAATCTTCCTATGTTGCCCAATCTGGTCTCAAACTTCTAGGCTCAAACTTCACCCTCCTAAGTGCCTGGTATTACAGGTGCGGACCACTGCACCTGGCTCAATGTCACCTCTCTTTGAAGCTTGCCCTAACCACCCCGCCTTCCTCTCTGTTTTCTTGGCATCCTGTGCATTTCTCTCTATTACACAGCACTGCTCACAGTGTGTGTTTACCTGCAGGTCTTCCCCTTCAGGCTATAAGCTCTTCTAAAGGCAGAGATTTGCCTGCTCCTTTGGTATGTACCCTCAGCACCAAGTACAGTGCCCACCCTGTTGGAGGCCCTCTGTGAATGGTATTGTAAATACTATCATTGTTTATCTGGGGCAGCATACCCAGCTACAGACCCCTTGTGCAGGAGTGCCAGGACTCTGGTGGGGTGGTTGGGCAAATTCAAACCCCTGAGTGAAGGGAAAACTCCACACATGCCTCTGCTTGTCACCCCCATGGAAGCTGGGGATTACTGTACCAGCAGTTTGCTCCATCCTCTGGGGATTCAGTGGAAGGCTCAGTACCCATTGCTGACATTGGCTGGGCTGTCCTTGGGGACACTAGGGTGTTCCCCAAGCATCTGCACCTTGGACTGGAAGACTCAGTGCTATGGTTTGAATGTGTCCCCCCATAAACGTATGTTGGAGACTTTATCTCCAATGTAACAGTGTTGGGAAGTGAGGCCTAACAGGAAGTGTTTAGGTCATGAGGGCTCCACCCTCATGAATGGATTGATGCCAATTATAAAAGGGCTTGAGGTTGTGAGTTTGATCTCTTGTTCTCTTGTTCTCTGTCCCTCTCTTGCCCTTCTGCTATGAGATGACACAGCATTAAGGCCCTTACCAGATGTTGGCCCCTCAATCTTGGACTTCCCAGCCTCCAGAACTATAAGAAATAAATCCCTATTCTTTATAAATTACCCAGTCTCAGGTATTTTTTTATGGCAACATGAAACAGACTAAGACATCCAGTGCGGGAGCTGCAGGAAGGAAAACCCAGAAGAAACAGAAAAGTTCATCTGCAAGAGTCCCAGGGGAGGCTTCTCCAGATGAGCAGGGCTGCATCCCATAAGGTGAAAGGGGAGGAGAATTCTCCATGAAGGAAATTAACCCTGCTTCTAACTGGAAGTGGATAAAGTGTCAGCAACTTGAGCAATCTCATTCACAAGCCCCTTTCCTATCAGATTTTCTGCTGTTCCCAGATTACTTAAAAGGTTGGAGTGAGGTGGGCTCTGAAGAGAGATGGGAACCAGGTTATGTCTGTCCTCTGGAAGAAGAGACAGGGAAGTCACATGGTGTCTCTCTAGATGCTTCCCTATTTCTATTACCTGAGGCTACCTGAAGGCAGAAGGTGCAGGGGTGGTGATGGTGGACCTGGAGGCAGTAGGGAGGAGGGAGGAACACATCCACTTAAATAGTGCACTTTGAGAGGAATGTAACAGAATGAAGAGAATGGCAGGGTATTGCCAGTGGTCTAAATTTTAAGCAAACAGATGAGAGGAGAGAGGGTGGGGGAGGCATCTGGAATTATATAATATAAAAGAGAAAAGAAAGACATTTTCATAGGCTTCACTGACATATAAGTGACATGTCCAAGATCCCAATTCCTGGTCTACTGGATGTTCTGCTCTACACACTGCCTCCTCAAAGCCAAGATAATTTATTTTCATTGTGGAGGGGTTGAGATCTGAGAAGCATCTTTGAGGATGTTTCTTCAGGGAGGAAGAGGAGTTTGAAGAGAAAGAGGGGAGGGCAGCCCTAAAGGAAGTGGGCTCTCGCTTGAGAACATGGGCTGCTTCTTTTCTCTCAGGGAGAGCCACTTGAGCATAGATTATCTTTCCAGATAGACTGGGGACTCCAGGAGTCCCTCCAACACTCTTGCACCAGGCAAGCCTGGGATATCCAGGGACCTTTGTTCTCCCTTTGGCCCTGTATTGGGAAGGGGATAGGACACAGGATGAGATAAGCTCTCCAGCCCTGGGAGAACTCCCAGGGGAGTATCCCTGGGGAGATGGGGTACTAGGTCAGTGAGCCAACAGGCATTACTGAGCATCTAGTATGTGCTGGTTTCCGACAACACAGTGTCTTGCATGTGAGCAGCATTTGCGGTAGGAAAGGATGTAGGGAAGGATGGGGGAACAGGCACTAAAGAAAGGGAGGGAGGAAGAGACTGAAGAAATAAAGGGAATGGGAGGAAAGAAAGGCATGGTTATTGATGTCCAGTAACTCATACACTAGTTGTGGCAGCAGGATAACTGGAGAAAGGATGGCTAAAAACAGTGATAAGTGAGCAGTCCCTGGAGAGAAGTTACCAGGGAGATGTTGGGAAGGCTTCGGGAAGGCTTGGGATAGAGGAATGGGGGACAAAGGAGTGGGTTGAGAGGGTAGGTGGCTTCTTCTTACCTGCAGACTCAGGTGGACTTGTCTTGGAGAAGACTCTGGCCCAGCAGCTTCACTAGTCCCAGAGCTCCATGGATTCCCAGGAACTTGTCTGGGCCCAGCAACCCTGTTGGTTCGGAATAGCCTTGGGGTCTAGGAAGCCCTGGTGTGTCCAGGGTTCCTGGGATCCCACAAGCTCCTGAGCATCCAGGGTGGTACTGAGAGCACTTCAAGACCAGAGTAGACCTGAGGTCCTGGGGGTCCTACAGATCCTGGGCAGCCGGGGGATCAGGGGGCCCAATTCCATCTTGTTCCTGGGAAGGAGAGGCAGGAGGGCTGCAGGAGAACCACAGAGGTAGGGGTGTATATTTGAAGGTGGGAGCCCAGGAGTCCTGTTGGGAGTGGAGAGTGTACATGGGAAAGTGCCAATGGCCTTGAGATCACTTAGGGAAATCCAAGATGGTCCTGGGGGTGGGGCACTAATTGAATCACCCATAGACTCATGTATTGTCTACTGGGTTCTAGGACCTATCCCAGCACATGGTATAGAGATTTCTCAGGGGGAATTTGGGTTCTGGGTTCTTAGTTTGAGACTCCTATCCCACGTTTACTCCAGATCCTTGCTTCAGAGGACTCTCAACCACCCTTCCTCACAAATAATGCCATCACTGGTCATCTACCCACCAACTACTCATTACCCACCCACCATCCATTCAGAACCCTCCTCCATTTAGCCTCCCCCTTACTCACTCACCATCCACCCATTTATTCACCCACCATCTACTCACCACCTACCTCCCACCAATTGCATACCATCCATTCTCACCTCTGGTCTAACTGCTCCCTCCAAAGGTAGTGCCAATTTTGGGCCACAGCCTATGCTGGGGGGGTCCAGGGACCCCTGAAGGGTCCTTGAGGACCAGGGTGGTCCTGGGCTTTCCAAACCATTTTCCATTGGGAAAGCCAGGTCCCATTCTGACCTGGGGGCATTCTTCTGCCCTTGCTCTGCCTGTTGGAACAGACAAGTCATGTAGTAGAGATAGAAGTGGGAACCAGAGGGCTTTCTTTCTCACTCCTGCTTTTCAGTTTCTTTTGTTTCCTTATGTCACCCAGAGGGTCCCAAAGTCTAGAGATTTCTCACCCAGGTCAGCACTTACCTGACACTCAAGGGGGCCAACAGGACAGGCACACCCAGAAGGTGGGTTGGAAGCAGGGTTGGATGCACATGGAAGACAGAAAAGGTGAGAACTAGGCTGGATCTTAAATCACTAAGTCCCTTCTTCTCATTGTACAGATGGGGAAACTAAGGCCCAGAGAGAGGTGTAACTAACTGTAGGTGACTGAGATGAAGCAGTAGGCTGGCCTGGGGGATAGGGTGAGAAAGCCAATTATACCTCCTAATATAGTGGGGAATGGGGTAACCCAGACCTGTTACTTTCTCCCCAGCTCTGAAATTGGCAGAAATCCCAGAGAAGGTCTTTGGGAGGCATCATGGTAGGGCCCAGGAAGAGAGGGGTAGGATGGGGTGGGGTGCTGTGTACCTCTTTACCCAGCATCCACCTGTTTCTCTGGACATCTCATCTTTTCAGGCTCTAGATCCTTCTCTTCCTTCCCTATCCTAGACGGGCTTACTTATTTGACTAGGTACGGGCCAGCTACTGAGTGGTGAACATCAGTGTGATCAGAAGAAGCATGGAGGAGATTTATTAATGGAAGTCAGGGAGAGAGTAGGGCCAGGGGACCAGCATTCCAGGTAGCTGTACCCCCACCCTGACTTTGGACTCTGAACCCAGGGGTTGGATTGAGGAAGAGGATTCCTAGAGCTGTAGAGATCCATCCTCCAGTCCAATGCCCTCAGAGGGCTCTTGGGTGCTGCTAGGAGCAGGTCTGGAGGGTAGACGTGGGCTCTGAGGCTTGGTCTAGCTTGCTAGAAGCTACCTCCATCCTTCCTTTGAAGAATGATGAATGAATGAATGAACAAAGAGAGGGAGTCTGGACTGGGATGTTTGGTTTCATATCTGTCTCTAAATCTCTCCTATCTCTCTAAGTTTTTTGTGTCATCACATCTATTCATCCTTCTCTGTCTCTCCATCTCTCTCTCTCCTACTGAATGTGTTTGCCCCCCCTCTCTTGGCCTTCTCCTTGCTAATACCCCCTCACTTTATCCTTCTGCTCTAAATCAGTGATAGGATTTTAGAATCAAAAGAGACTGGCCGGGTGCGGTGGCTCACGCCTGTAATCCTAGCACTCTGGGAGGCCAAGGCGGTCGGATTGCTCGAGGTCAGGAGTTCAAAACCAGCCTGAGCCAGAGCGAGACCCCGTCTCTAACTATAAATAGAAAGAAATTAATTGGCCAACTAATATATATAGAAAAAATTAGCCGGGCATGGTGGCGCATGCCTGTAGTCCCAGCTACTCCAGAGGCTGAGGCAGAAGGATTGCTTGAGCCTAGGTGTTTGAGGTTGCTGTGAGCTAGGCTGACGCCATGGCACTAACTCTAGCCTGGGCAACAAAGCGAGACTCTGTCTCAAAACAAAAAACAAAAAAACAAAGGAGACCCAAGAGGGTCATAATAATGACAACATCAATTTGTAACCTGCTTTCTTGTATGTACAGCTTTTCACTTTTATAGACAGCCTCGTTTGATCTCCCTTAACAGCTCTATGCAGTGAAGCAAGGACTGGCATCCCCATTTTACAGATGAGAAAACTAAGGTCCATAAAGGGGGAGAGACAAGCCCACAGTGCATGGCTAAAAAGGGCAGAGCTGGATTTGAACCCTTGCCTCTGGCTGCAGGACCAGTGCTCTCTGCCCCACAGCTTGTGGATCTTTATTTCAGGCTGTCTTGCTTTTTCCTGGCTTAGGGCCCAACTTATGCTACCCTTTAGATCATCATGATTGGGTGGAGGTAAGGAACAGGCTGCACAGATCTTGAGAATTACTGCTTCCAAACATCAAGTCTCTGGAAATGGCTAGGGCTGAGGGAGTGAATCCAGGCTTCAGGAGAGAAGATGGGGGCTGTGTGGACTAGGGGCTCCAGGCAAGAAAGGGCTGTTCCTGTTCCTCTGCCCTCGAGTTCCCTCCAGCCCTCGCCAGCTATCTTTAGGATACCCCTACCTCTCTCAGGCCAAGGACAGAAGGAGACTGCAGCAGAAGAGGTTGGTATGAAAAGCCTGGTGGGCACTGTGGCTTCTCTCTGAGACCCTCTGTTCCCACAGCTGAGGTTAGATCTGGGGTCCAGGCTGCATCCCCAGCACCCTGACTGAGGGTACCAGAACTGTCAGGTTGGCACTAGAACTGCATTGGCAGGGAAGGACACAATAATCTCTGGGTACACAGAACCTGACAATTGGAGCTTTAGTGGTAGCAGGTCTGCCTGGCAGAAGGAAAAGGTGCTTTTTAGGTTTGGGGAAAACCTTCAGAAGATGGGGTAGGGGTGCCAGTTGGAGGCTGGGTTCTGAATGGCTCACAGGCTCTGTTTTCTCACAAATGTACTTAAATCACATTTAGTTGCATGTGACCAGTAAAAGCCAGTCTTTTTACTACTTGGAGCCCCATCTATAAAATGGGTTTATAAGGTTACCATGGTGATCAGTGGTCATCATGGCTAACAAGTATTGAGCCTTACTCCATGCCAGGCACTGTGTTAAGTGCTTTACACACATCATCTCTCAACAGGTTTTTGCACAGCCCTCTCAGGCTGGGCTGGCATTATCCCTCTTTTACAACAGAGGGCATTTGAGGATAAGAGGGAGGATGTTTCTTTGCCAAAGTCACAGAGCTAGTAAATGGCAAAGCCAGGATTCAGTGCAGGCATTTGGCTCCAGGCTCTTAATCTTATTCACTTGGCTGGTCATGGCTAATAACTAACACTCATTGGGCACTTAATATGTGGCAGGTAGCATTTTAAGTGTTTTACACAGATTCATTCATTTAATCATCATAGCCATACTATATAATATTCATTTAATATGATAGATGAGGACACTGAGGCACAGGCTAACGTATTCTGAATTTCCTGCTGGGAATCCAGCCCAGGCAGGCTGACTTGAGAGCCAGCACTTTTAAAAAAAACAAACAAAAAAAGTTTTTTTCTTTAAAAGATTGCAGTATAGCATACATACAGAAAAGTATAGAAATAAAAAATGTTTAGCTCAAAAAATGTTCACATAGTGAATATACTATGTAACTAAATAATAAATATTATCCATACCCAAAAAGACTACCTCCACCCTTCTCCCCAAAGTTAACATTTATCCTGATTTTTAAAAATGGATTAGTTGTCTTAGTCCATTTTCTGCTGATATAAGAGAATACCACAGATTGGATAATTTATAAACAATAAAAATTTATTTGGTACATGGTTTTGGAGCCTGCAAAATCCAAAAGCATGGTGCTGGCATCTGGCAAGGGTCATCCCATGGCAGAGGGTGGAAGTGAGCACTCAAGACAGAAAGGGAAGGGGGCCAAACATCATCCTTTTATCAGGAACCCACTCCCACAATAGCAGGGTTAATCCATTCATGAGGGTAGAGGCCTCATGACCTAATCATCTCTTAAAGGTACTGCTTCTTAATACTGTCATAATGGCAATTAAATTTCAACATGAGTTTGGCGGGGAGACACTCAAACCATAGCATTGTTTATTGTTATTTTTGAATTTTATATAAAGAGAGTCATATAGTAGTAATCTTTTGTTCGACATATGATTCATCTATATTGTTGGATGTAGCAACAGCTTATTCAAATAGAGATTTAACTATTCTATGGATTCCATTTTTGGCTATTCAGAATGGTGCTGTTATGCACACTCTTGAACATGTCTTTTGGGATACACACACACACACACACACACACACACACACACGTGTATATACTCACACACACATTTCTATTGAGTATATATCCAGGGATGGAATTATTGATTGTTTCCAAGTTGTTGTACAAATTTGTTTTCTTACTGGTATTATGAGAGAATCCCCTTACTCCACATCCTGGCATTGTTAGTATTTTAATTTTTTACCAATCTGGTGGGTATATACTGGTATCTCATTGTGTTTTTCCATATGCATTTATTAAATGAGGTAAAAATGGAAGCAAGCACTCTTAACGCCCACTCTGTACAGCTTCTCCTAACAATTCTGTGAGCTAGGTATTTTGTGGATGAGGAAATGGAGACACACAGTTACTCCCTCCCTCCCTTGCAATATTCTCACCTTTCCTGGGGGCCCCTCCCTACTTTTCCTAGTGGGGCTGGGATGTCTGGTCACCACTAATCTGGGGGGTCCCTCAGGCCAACATGCTTTCCTGGGTAGGGAGAAGAGGAAGGTTAGGGAGAAATGGGCAGGAGTGAGAAGGAGAGAGAGGACGAGGCATAAAGGCTGGCGTGAGGGATGAGAGAACCTGGCTCTTGGCGTGGAGTGATGGGGCCAGAGAGAGCTCTGGAAATACTCAGAAGGCACGACTAGTGCTGTCTGTGAGCTCCCAGTGCTGGTGGGAAGGGAAGTCATGTAGCTTGGGGGTAAGGGTTCTGTGTGTAGGGATGTTGGGGGGTCTCTCTGGAGGTCCCATAAACTCTGGGGGTTTTCTGAGTCTGAAGACACCTCTGTGGGGCTTCTCTAGGCCTAGAGCCCTTTTGGGGTGTTTCTCTGGGTTTAGAGGTCACTTGGTAGAGTCTCTTTGGGGTCTTCTAAGGTGTATGTACCACTTTGTTCCTCAGGGCTGGGGGAACAGGAGGCAGGGCCTGGAGTCCCTTCAAGGAGTATGGGGAAAGGAAAGGGGTCTGCTGTGATTCTGGGCTTCTGATCTGGCAGGCCAAGAGGCAACCTGCTCTTTGACTCAACCAGTGTCAGGGGAGGTGGGCAAAGGATTTCCCACCCCAACCTCTGGCTTTCTCTGCCCAGAGTTCCCTGTGTGTCTCTGCTTTTGCAAGTGTCCTCGGTGAGATTCTCCTAGACTTCACTTCTCTGCCAACCTCCATTCTTCTTGAGTCCTGAGCCCAGAGCTTGCTGGTGATGGCTCTGGCAGCAGAGGCAGCATGGCACAGAGGGCTAACATTGCAGCAAGCAGTAAATATATTTGGCACAGTCTTTGCTAGATTACTTGCTAACTGTGTGCTCTTGGGTGAGCTTCGTCATCTCTCTATTGGTGACAGAGCTCTCCCAGGGCCCAACATCATTCACTTGGCTTGTCTCCTGTGCAGGCTTTGGCCAATGAGAAGGAGATACTGTGGGTGCCAACTAGCCTGGAAGCAATGCAGACTCTGGAGGGTTGGGAGCCATGCACACATGGAGACTTGGACCATGCAAAAGGATTCCAGAGGTCCTGGATTTCTAGGCTGCCAGAGCTGAAAGTAGCTCCATAATTCAGTGAGTTCCCCTCCCCCATTTTACAGATGGTAAAACTGAAGCTGAGGAAGGGGAAGTGGTCACAAAGCTGGCAAGTAGCAGAGCTGGCTTGTCTGGAGATATGAAACTGGATCCTGCAGATGGCTCTCCTCTGCCCTCCCCTTCTCCTGCCTGGGTGTTCACCTCAAAACCCAGATTCCATGGTCTGGAGCTGGGCAGGACCAGACATCCCTCTGCACTGTGGTGACTCTCTGGAGAGCCTGGCTCTCCTGATCTGGTCTCTCCAAGTATGGGGCCCTGGTGGCAGAAAAGCAGCCGTACTAATAGGCCATTGCTCAGCCCATGCCTGGGGAGACTCCCCTACTCAGTGTGGGCACAGTGGACAGTCCAGGGTGATCAGGAGTGGGGCTGGGAAGCCAAAGTTATAAGGAAGCCTGGGCCATACCAATTGCTCCTGTCCTCTGATCCCCCACACCCAGCGTGCATTGTGTATCATAATCTTGCTCTTGTTGGCATTAGTTTAGAACAGTTCTGACAGTTGTTTTGGAAGGCAGTAAAGCATAGGGATTAGTTGTACAGACTTTGGAGCCAGACTGCCTGGGTTTACTTCCCTATTCTACTTACTTGCTGTGTGACTTTGAGTGAGTTACATACCTCTCTGTGCCTCAGTTGCCCTGTCTTTTTTTTTTTTTTTACAAGAGCAAGTTACAGGAAGTTGCCCTGTCTTAAAAAAGGGGATAATTATAGCACTTACTTCATGAGGTTGTTGTGAAGCACACATGAGTGAAGCACTTAGAATCATGTCCAGCATATAGTCTGTGATCTTTGTGTATTTTGTCTACTCCATCAGATAAGATGATCCCAAGGGCAAGCCCATCAAATTGGGGATTCCTTGAGAGTGGAGCTTTGTCTTTCTTCTGGGAATCAAGCTTGCTTTTCTCTTATCTATTCTCTAAGAAGCCTGGCCTGAGCCTCGTAGAGATTTGAAATTGTACCACAAGGGAGCTAGTGAGACTTTTGGAGCAACAAGCCAATGAGTGTGTGGGTGGGAGAGGTGGGGAGGGAGTGGGGATTTTCTTCATCCATCAATCAGGAGGAGCATCTTCCCAGCCCTCAGGTGCCCAGGAGGCAGGGACAGACAAGGATGCTGTGGGAGAGAAGGTTTCACTTTCTGGTAGAACCTGGTCTGGGAAAGATGGCAAGGCAGAAGGGCTGGGTTTCTGCCTTTAGGAGTCTCCTGGTCTGGAGCTCCCAGTCTAAAGGGAGGCAGCAGTCGGGGGGAGAAAACCCATAACCAGCACCTGCACCTGTACCCCACTCCTTGGGTTCCACAGCTCTTTCTCATTCATTATCTCACTTTTTCTTCCAATGATTCTGTGGTGGTAAGCCCAATTATTTCATATATATATATATATACACACACACACATATACACATACATATATTTTTACAGAGGATGAAAATGACCCTCCAAGATGTTGAGTGGCAAGTCCAAGGTCACACAGCTCTTAAGTGGCTGTGCTGCAACTTGAACCCAGGTCTTCTGACTCTAAATCCCATGCCCCTTATGTATAGCCTCTTCCAGATACTTGCAGCCTGAGTGGGGACACTAAACCCAGTATTCTAAGAGCCTCCAGTCGGGGGTGATGTGGGGAGGAGAATGCATAGGTCTTGCTTTCAGGGGATCCCTAACCATGTGGAGAAGCTATAGTTCCCAGCAGGGGAGGGTTAGGTGGGAGCAAACATGTGGTGCCTACTATGTGCTAGGCACTTTGCATAGATCTCTCTCTCTCTCTCACCACAAAGTCCCACTTTCCAGCTAAGGCCTGAAGCTCAGAGAGCTTAAGTAACTTGTTTCAGGTTCCCTAGTGAGTCCAGGGACAAAGCTGGGATTAGAATCCAGGTCAGCCTGATGCTAACACCTGTGCTTTTTGCTCTCGCATGGCCTACTGTTGGCTCAAAGGTAACCTCGTTAATGAAGGTTTTCCATGTCCTGGATGTAAGAACTGACTGCTTGTGCCTCTGGGTCTCCACAGTGCCCCATATAGACATCTCCCAGGCCATCTGCACATTTCTTAGACTTATTTATTCACATACTGTCTCCTGCACTGGGCAGTGAGCTCTTTGAAGGCAGAGGGTAATCTTGGCCATGTGTGTATTCCTGGTATGTAGCATAAAGCCTGTGCATAATAGGTGTTCATTCAGTAAATGTGTATTGCATGGATGGTGGGAGGTGTTTGGAAGGCTTCCTCCTGTCCACTTTTCTGCTTCCTTTGAATTATCTCAGATAGTGATGAGGGTTGGGGAGGACACCAGAGGATGAATTTGGAGCTGGGGTTGAGGTGTGGGCATCCGTCTCACCTGGCAACTCTTCCAGATTTTCCACACTCACCTGCACTCATGCATCATCCCAGGGCTTTGTCCATCTCTGGGGCTTTGTCCAGCCTCTCTTTGCACTCCTGCCTCTGTGTCCCAGCACCTTCCCTCCTCCTGGGTTTGCTGTCTAGGGGGCAAGTCTGGCATTGGGGTCAGAAATTGCCTTCTCAGTTCCATCTTATTCTCACAAGAGCATCAAGAGGTAGGATGGGTGGAGATGATCTATCTCCATTTTCCAGTTAGGGACAGCCAAAGCTCCAAGTTCACATAGCTTGGTGGCGGAACTGGGTCCAGTGATGATGAAGCAGGGGAGCAGGGCTGGGGGCAGTTTTCTGAATCAGGCATAGGCTAATCTTCCCTCAGGGACTTGAGGAACCTGGTTCTGTTTGCCCTTCTCCAAGGCATATGGGGTAGAAGAGTCTCCATTTCGTCTGTGAGATGCCATGAGAGAATCACAGATTCTTGTCCTTGGCCATCACTCTCCAGCCCTCCTGCAATCTTGATGGCTGCCAGTAGGTGCCGTCAGTTTGCAACTTTTTGGTCTGTCCTACAGGTCTGGCTTCCAACCTCTCCCGCCAATCACCCCAGCAGTTTGCACTTGCAGAAAATAGGAGGTGGCCCAACCCCTGCGAGGCTGCAAGACCCTTTCCCTGGGAGAAGAGGCAGAAAGGGGATATCTGAAGTGCACTTCTGTTTGGTGCCCTGCAGCTTTCTAGGCCAAGCTAAGGGGGTGAGGGGCGGGGGAATCCACAGTGGGTCACTGATTATGCCTGGACAGGCACCCCTACCCTGAAACCAGCTCTAGTATAGCAGAAGCCTTTGTAGGGGAGCATAGGTGAGTATTAGGGAGGCCTGAGAAGAAACCCAGGAGATGGGTCTTTACTCCCAATGCTACTCTAGGGCTCCCCTCAATCACAGAAAGGATTTGAGCAAGGGTGGGGTTATACCCACACCAGTAGGATCAACATTAGCCCAAATAGCAACAGCAGGTGAATTAGAAAAGCGCCCCTTCCTCAAAATCCTTGACTGCCATCTGCTGGGAAACGGTCACAACAGTCGAACAAATATACAATGACTACATGGAATGGTGCCCCCTGGAGTTGTTCAACGCAGCACTTGCGCATTGCAAGTGGCAATCTCCCAGGCCAGTCTCCCTCCAGGAGTGAGTCAGGGTAGTAGAAGTAAACATTCAGGAAGGAGGAAGAGACTCTGCACCTCCCTCGCCGCCAGAGAGTTCAGTTGATTCTGTCCTGGGGAAGTCAGGGTGGGCCAGCACCCGCACAAGCCCTGGGGCGACTGCAGGGGAGGGAGAGGTTGCAAGGGGCGAGTGCAAAGAGAGCCTATTAACGTCTTAGGGCCACCAGGCCTTTCCGTGCCCCTGGTTGAGCGCCTGTACCCCTTGCCCCACCTCACGCGGCTTGGTGTCCAGCGGCTGATACTGGGAGCACTGGGGTGGGGTGGAAAGGACTCTGGCTAGGGAGACTGAATCCGCAGAGCCGGGAGTGCTGGCTAGAAGGACCCTTTCTCACTGCGAGACTGAGGGCTGCCTCGGTGGGCCTGGGGAAGAATCCTCCGAGGTGGGGGGAGGGGCGAAGCAGCAGCCCCTTCGCTTTCCCTCTCCCCTTCTCCCCTCCTGGGCTCCGGTTCAGAGGCGCTCTGGGCTCCTGCCACGGCTTCCAAACTGCGCCGCTTCCTTTTTCGGCAGAAAAGGACTTTCAGATGTAGCCACGGCAGCGACTCAGGACAGCGCCCCCTCCCCCTACCGGCCGCCTCTCCCTCTCCCCCTCGCCGCCCCGGCTCCCCCACCTCTGGGAAGGCGCTGGGGGTGTGGCCAGGGGCCGGTATAAAGTCCGGGGGAGCCGGTCCCGGGCAGCCGCTCAGCCCCCCGCCCCCTACCGCCCTCCGCCTGCCTGGGCCGGGCCGAGGATGCGGCGCAGCGCCTCGGCGGCCAAGCTAGCTCCCCTCCAGCCCGCTTGCTAACTTCCCCAGCTCCGTTCCTGTCCGCCAGCGGGGCCGCCAGTCTCCCCGCGCCCTCCAGGTCGGGTCCGCCGGGCGCTGCCGCCGTGTACCCCCTGCTGCCTGCCAGCGCGCCAGCGCTCCCCGCCCGCGCCCAGCGCCCCGCGCCCGCGCCCCGTCCTCGTGCGGTCATGCTGCCCCTCTGCCTCGTGGCGGCCCTGCTGCTGGCCGCCGGGCCCGGGCCGAGCCTGGGCGACGAAGCCATCCACTGCCCGCCCTGCTCCGAGGAGAAGCTGGCGCGCTGCCGCCCCCCCGTGGGCTGCGAGGAGCTGGTGCGGGAGCCCGGCTGCGGCTGTTGCGCCACTTGCGCCCTGGGCTTGGGGATGCCCTGCGGGGTGTACACCCCCCGCTGCGGCTCGGGCCTGCGCTGTTATCCGCCCCGGGGGGTGGAGAAGCCCCTGCACACGCTGATGCACGGGCAAGGCGTGTGCATGGAGCTGTCGGAGATTGAGGCCATCCAGGACAGCCTGCAGCCTTCTGGTAAGGTACCCCTGGCTGCCCATGCACTCACGAGTGCGCTTCCCCACCAGCAGCTTCTTCCCCATTGCAGTTGACCTGGAAGGCCCTTGAAAATCCCCTGGGAGTTGAGAAGGCAGGTACGTGGCAGGGCCCGGCTGGATGGGACAGGCTCAGCCAAGGAAACTGCTACTGAGTCCTTAGCAGCCTGTTGCCACTTTCAATGGGGACTCTGTCCCATCCCTCCACCTCACACCTCCCAGGGGTGCCTATTTAGGAAGGGGCTCTGGCTGCTCCTGCAAGAGAGGCAAATTACGTGACCTGGTCCAGTCAAGTCAGCTCTCTAGGGCCAGAAAACTGGAGGATGGGGTGGGATATGTGTTGAGGGCAGCTTTCTGTTCGTGATCCAGGGTCCACCCTCACCTTGGCCACAGGTGAAACCCAGGGGTATGAGGGGTCAGGGCCTGGACTTTTCACATCGACCAGTAGTGGAGTGGGACATGTATATTAGAGAGACTTTGGTGGTGAGAGGTGTCAGGCTGTCCCCCAAATCCCTGAGCTAGCTCACCTTGCTGTTTGAGAGGTAGTAGGAAGGCAGGGGCCTCTCTACCAGGCCTGGACACCTCTGTTTGCCCTCGTATACAGGCCCCCTGCTCCTTTCTCTTGGGAGGTGCCATTTGAGGGGCAGAAGAGAAGTCTTGGCTCCCAGCTTAGAGCTGCAGAAACCTCATGGTTGTGGGATAGAGAATAGAGAAGATGAGGGGGACAGACACAGAGAGAGTCTTAGAAGGCCCTTTGCCCTAACCTCAGTCTTACACTTTCTCTTTTTCCATTTCTCAGGGAGCCTTTCTCAGTTTCTCCTTAGACTTTTCTCAGCTTCTTCCTTCTTTCTCTTGTTCTTTTGTTCTTTCCTACTTTGTCTCTCAGCTTCTAATTTCACTAATAATGTTCTTTTTTTTTTTGACAAAGTCTTACTCTGTTGCCCAGGCTAGAGTGCCATGGCTTCAGCCTAGCTCACAGCAACCTCAGCCTCCTTGGCTCAAACAATCCTCCTGCCTCAGCCTCCCAAGTAGCTGGGACTACAGGCAGGTGCCACCATGCCTGACTAATTTATATATATATATATTTTTTTTTTAGTTGGCCAATTAATTTCTTTCTATTTTTAGTAGAGATGGGGTCTTGCTCTTGCTCAGGCTGGTTTCGAACTCCTGACCTTGAGCAATCCACTCACTTCGGCCTCCCAGAGTGCTAGGATTACAGGTGTGAGCCACCACGCCTGGCTTCTAATACTGTTCTTGAGTTGTCTTTTCCTCAGTGTTTTCTTTTCTGTCCATCATCAGTTTCTTTTTTTTCCTCTACCTTATTCTATTTTTCTGTTTCTGTTGCCCTCCTTCTCTCACTTTCCTCTCACTCTTTCTGTTTCTTTTTTTCTGTGTCTGTCACTGTTTGTTTCTGTCTTTCTGTTACTTTTGGAATCTCTGTCTCTGTCTTTTTGTGTCTCTGCCTCTGTTTCTCATTCTTCTCTCACTCTGTTTTGCTCTCCCTGTGCCTCTGTCTGCGTCTGTCTCTTTTCCTGGTGCTTGAAGCTTCCATTGTTGCAGTCCGGATGCTGGGACTTGGGCCTCAAACTTCCTGCCCTGAGTCCCAGACCCTTCACTTCCTCAATCCTCTGCAGATTGTCAGTTGAGGAGAGCAGGATGCAGGGAAAACAGGAAGGAGGTGGACCCCAGGGGTCTGGGCCTCGGGCCTCACTGCCCTTCCTGCCCCTGGGCAGGGAGAGATGGGTCAGCAGAAAACATTCTAGGAGAAATGCCAGCCTGGCACCCAGCACATCTGGGAAGGGGGGGCTCCTGGAGGAGTCAGTCGCTGATCTTGGGGCAGAAGTGCCAGTGTAGTGGGAGAGGAGATGTACTTAGTGGGAGCAAGGGCTGAGCCCCTGGGCTCCATGAGTACATGGGGCCACTTTCCCTTTGACTCTCCATCCTCCACTGGCCAGAAGGTAGCTGGCACCATAGGAGGATGGCTGGTAGTCTCTTCCTCTCTCACCAACTTGAACACAAGACAGAGCAACCCTCAGAGAGTCTTTTCCTCTGTTTGGGTAGGAGCACCCCATCTGTAGTGGGGGAAAATCTGATCCCTTAGGGGTTTGGGGAGGGCATGGCATGAACAGTTGGCGATTGTCCTGTGGACATAATGCAAACTGGCCTTAAGAGGCATCTAAGAATGCGTCAGCTTTAGGGGATTTTGGATGACAGAGGCCAGGTCTCTAATGCCTCTCCCCCTTCCCCCTTGCCTTGTCCTCCACCCATGCAGTGGATATAGTTATATGGAGAGGGAAAAGGGAAAGCCTGTAAGACCCTGGGGAAGCTAGATATACCTACTGGACAAGCTGTGTCTGAAGTCACCTCCTAGTCATCATACAAGTACTCCCCTGCCGTGGCCTGGGCCACATTGCACCCTGTGAAAGGCAACCTGTAGAGTTGTGCAGTTGCCCTGCAGGGTCTGTGGTGAGATAAGATGACCAGGGCTCAGCCCCAGCCCCTGCTGTCCTCCTTAGCCTTATACCATCCATAGGTCCTGTCCCTCCTAGGTCCCACGGCTTGGGCCTTCCAGCCTGGGAATAGCTTGGTATAGGGTGTCAGGCTCTTTCTGCCTTTTCCTCTTGGGGCTGAGCTTCAGCAGGTGGCTGGGGGAGACTGGCCACTTGGCACGTGACCTCCCTTGCCCTGTTGTGGTCTAGCTGCCTCCTATTTGCCCAGGGGCAGGTCTCCCCCTTCTATCTCTGGCGACCCCATTCCCCTGTCTCAGCTTTCTGAGCCAGATAGCCAGGTTGTGGATTAACACCACTGAGGCCACCAGAGGCAGGGGTGGAGTGCATGCGTCAGAAGGCCACAATCCTGCACCGTGGTACTGACCCTCGACTCACGGGATCTGGGGGAGTGGACAGTGGGAAGATCAGTGTTTGGACGGGGAGTTCCTAATAGGGCTCTGGGTCCCTCTGGGACAGGGTTAGGGAACAGGCAGGCCAAGTTAATTTTTAGTCAACGCAGCAAATATTGTCCCCCCTACTTTAGTACTGGGAATCCAGTCATGTCATGGGAACAAGGCCTTCCCAGAAATTCTGTGCCTTGGGGGAAGGGGAGGGAGGAGCATGGCTGTTTACCATTTTTTTCTTTAGTATTGGCAAAGCCAACATTGTTGGTGCCTTGGGTATCAGGAGCCTTTTCACTCAGAGACAGAGTGCTCCCCAGATAGGTCTCCCCCACTGCCCTCCCCCTAGTCTACTTATTTCCTCATCTATAAAAGGGGAGGGCAACTGAACCTGTCGCTTAGGGTTGGGGTATCTGCCACAGACAGAGTAGGTGCTCAATAAATCAGAGCAATGATGAGGATGGTGATGAAGAGGAAGCTGATGCTGGGACTTTGGGTGATAAGAGAGCAAGGGAGCAAAGTTGAGGAAAATTCAGAGAGGATGAGAGGGATGGGGCAGAATTTGATGCTTTTTGCTATTGTAAACATGGGAGGGACGGGCCAGCTTGCTTTATCAGACCTTTTAATCTGAGACCAGCTGCTTGGCACAGTGGTGGGAAAGACACCCCATGAGCTAGACCTCAAAGAAAGGGCCTGGTACCTGGTACCGGTGGTTTTGGCTTCTCTAGCCAGAGTCCAGGGGAAGTAGGAACAGGCCTTTCTGACAGGGCAGGTGGGTGACCCCCATATCATGGCCGAAACTTCTGTGTCTGGATGGCTGGGCCTACTTAGCTCACAGCCTGGGTGTCCTGTGGGGGGTGGGGGCTGGAGTTGAAGGGAAATCATGGGGGTGAAATCAGGCAGCAGGAAAGAGGAAATCCTCCAGCTTTCACCATGAACTTTGCAGCCAGTGGTGCCAATGCTGTGCAGCCTCTTCTCTCTGTGAGCTCCTTCCTTTCCTCTGCTGCTGGAGCAGAGACCAAAGTTTCCCCTGTGGCTAGACATCAGTTGGTCCAGCTCCAAGCAGGGGACTGGAGGAGGAGCTCTAGCCTACCTTGGAAGTCCCACCTCCCAAACCAGCTTTCTGGAGGTCAGATGTTTCAAGAGGAAAGGTCTGACTCTAGCTCCTGCTCAGAGGGGACCCATGGGCATTGGGATTTTCCAGAGGGCACTGCCAGAATGAATACCACCAGGTGGCTGGAACTGCTGTGCAAGCTGGGAAGTAGCAAGTATTCAGCCAGTTTTGGTGATGGGAAATTTAACATTTTCAAGAGACCCAGTGCCACAACCCTTACTCACTAAAACCCTGTGCCTGGGGTAGATCCTGGGGTGGGTCCTCAGTATGCCAGTTGCCTGGGCAAGGAAAAGTTACAGATTAATTGGAAAGTCAATAGAAATAGATCATGGTGCAGGGAAGCTAGTGAAGTCAGTGTGCCCTGCCCCAGTCTGTGTGTCTGACTAGAGCAGGGTCAGAGTGCTCGACTGCAGTGGGTGTGCATGCGTGGACGAGTGTGTCTGGATATGTGATTGTTTGTATACATTTGTGATTCTTGAGTCCTGGTCTGTGTGTGAGTGGGCAGATATTTACTCTGTGTACCTGTATGCCCACGAGAATAGGTAAGGTGCTACTCTCCTATCTAGTGGGTTCTACTCTAAGCTTAGTCATGAACTGGTGATATGCAGGCGACAAGTAGGGAAGCCATCCTGGGGGAGATCAGGCAGGCTGTCAGTTCAGCTCTTCCCAGGTAAGCCCTACTACGTGACACAGGGCCTTACCAATGGAACAGCATAAGCCAGGCTTCTGGGCTCACCCTACGCCCCATGCAGGCCTGGGTTTCAGTGAGCAAACCCAATTTTCCTCCTTAATGGCAAACATCCCAAATATCTATTAATCCCCTGAGGGTTAGTTGTTTGTGAACTTTGACTCTAGAATGCCACACTCTAAAGCATAATTGTAGTCAAGCTTCTATTCTACATCTCTCTAGATTCGTAAGTCCTTTACCCCTGTAATGGAGCCACACCTCCAGGGCAGGGAGCTGGCTACCTCCTGAGGCTGCCCCCTTCTTTAGAAAACCCTTCCCTACTCCTCAAACTCCTTGAACCTGAGAACATTCTGCCCATTTACCTAGATGAACAAGAGTCAGTGTACAAAGTAGTGCTTTCTGTTATGTCCATTAAAAGAAAACAAAGCCTTTCTAGGTTGGAAGGGTATCCCCTAGAGTTAGTGTCCTGGCCTGTGGCAAATGAGTCCCAGCCACCCCTCCAGCCTTACCCAGGTAAATGGTGGAGCCTTTGTTCACATCTCAGCTCAGCCTCTGTCCTTCCAGTGTTTGGTTCTAATTCTTTTAGGTCTTCCGTTTCCTCTTTCTCTCCACTCCCCAGCTCCAGCTTATACCCCTGAAACACTTCGACCCCAACCACAAGCCATGTGGCTTTGTGCAAGGTGGGGATAGGGAGGGAGGGGGCCATTGGCCAGGCTGGGTCTCTTTGGCTAGAGAGGATCCTTGGGAGTGTATATGTAAGGAAGGGCCAGGATCCCAGATCTTTCTCTAGTTCCTAACTGAGGGCTCAGGGAACATTTTCTTATGGTCTCCTTGGCACAATCCTGGTCTCCTGAAGTTTTTGCTGCCTATACTGGCTGGGAGGTCTTGTTATAGTATCTTCTCTTTGGTTGACTATCAGGAACTTGATGTGGGACTGGAGTCCCCTCTAGACTGTCCTTGGGATGTCAAATGTGCACAAGGATAGATCCTATCTATCTGCTCTATTTATTCCTTCCCTTTGATTCTTCTTTCTAAGCCAGCCCTCCACCTTGGACAAAATCTTCTTCCATACTTGGTGAATTTTATTAATAATCTTTGGTGTGGAATCTTGATAAACACTTTCCGAGGGTCTAGATTCCTCATTACCTGGTTTCTCTTTATCCGCATACTTCCCCTCCCTGCAAGTCCCCAAACTAGGAGAATGAAAAGAGAACCAACCCGCCAGCTTTGGCTAGGCAGAAAAATACCATTTGACCCAGAGGCAGCTCTGGGACCGCTGCCATGCATAGAGGAACCTGCTAACTCCTCAGGAAAAAAAAACCCCTGACGCAAACCAGATGTAACCTCCTGTCTGGCTGCCAACATCTGGAATGCTGGCAGGGGCTTTGCACTCAGGCCAGCAGTGAGCTGCCAAGCCCAAGCATTTCAGAGGTGGCTCTGATCTGTGGAGAGGTCTTCTAGCCTCTTTCTCCAGCTCAGCTCTATATTCCGGTTTTGAATGCCTTGAGGGAGGAGCAGTGGTTACAATTCTGGGACTGTGGACGGGGATTTTCTTGAGCTCAGATAGAGCCTTCAGGAGACCCACAGAGGGGATGAGGGTCTAGCCTCACCACTCCCGTCTCCCAGTGCCCTGGTTGTAGGCAATACACATAGACTTTGGATGGAGTCTGAAGTCTAAGGATGGGAGACTTCGAGGTGGGGGACTGAAGGAGTGTGTAAAGCTTTTCTCTTGATCCTGGGGCCATGCAGGGTGTGCTACACACACACACACACACACACACACACACATGCTTTCTCATGCAGGCATACATAGTAACTCATACTTCTTCTCTCCCACCCTGCCAATCTGTAGAGCCTTTTGGGCCAGATTTCTCATCACTCATGGAAACTCTGATTCTGGCCATTTAGAAGAGGGTCAGCACAGTTGACACCCCTGGGGACCCCGTGGCTGGCTCAGCCAGATGCTACAAAGACTAGGAAAGGGGACAGGAAGAGCAAGCAGACAGAGGGGGATGGTGGGAGGAGCTGAATGGAGTGGGGACAGGATCTGATAGAGGCTGCCCTGCCTCCCTTAGACCTCCCTGCAAGGCCCAGGGGATCCTCCTGCCATCTGGGCAGCTGCAGCTGGTGACTCATCTAAGGGCTGGTCTGGGTGGGGTGAGGGACAAGTCAAGGGCTTCAAGGGGAGTATTCTCCTGAGGAGGTCCAGGGGAGTAGAGAGGAGATGGGGGGCTACTTTCATTTCTTCCTGCCCCCCAGCCCCCTACTCTTTTCCAGCACTAGGCTGGAGCATCCTCAAGGAGAAAGCAGGTGGGAGGCTGGGGTGGTGTGATGCTCTGTTGTTTTCTGGTGCCGACTTTTCTCCCTCTTGGCCTGTCTACAGACAAGGATGAGGGTGACCACCCTAACAACAGCTTCAGCCCCTGCAGCGCCCATGACCGTAGGTGTCTGCAGAAGCACTTTGCCAAAATGCGAGACCGGAGCACCAGTGGGGGCAAGATGAAAGTCATCGGGGCACCCCGGGAGGATGTCCGGCCTGTGGTAAGGACCTGAGACCCCCAGCTGTGCATGTGTGTAGACACACACACACATACACACACACCACTGGTACCACCAGATCTGGACTATGTTCATTCAGCAAACATTCTTTGGACACCTCTTTTGTGCAGGATGCACCTAGTATGCATCATCTCTGGGACCCAGAGAGAGTCCTTATTCCTTTCCTTGGAATTCCTTCCCTGTTGTCATTTACATACATTGGTACAGCTGGAGTGGTTGTTAAATACTGAAATACTTCTGTGCTGGCTGGTAAAAAGCAGTGCCTCATGCCCTCTGGGCTTTCTTGGCTCTTCACTTGGATTCCCCACCCCAGACCTTTTTTTTCAGTCACTAAAGGGTTAATGCTGGCCATAGCAGGGGGCCTTGGGACTCTGCTCCAGGGTCCTTTTTAGTGGTGGTAGTTGTTGATTGTATGAGTTCCTCTATCCCTCCTGCTTAGAAATTGCCCCCTCCCTGGTCTTCCACATGGGTTGCCACAGTCTCTTTTCCCACAAAGCCCCTCACTTCACACCCCTCGGTCCAGAAGCTCTTTGGCTTGAGACTGTGTCCTCATGTCCTTCTGCTTGCCCCACCATGTCCCCTGAACCATGTCCTGCCCTTCACCTCACTTAGTCCTGCCCAGCCCATAGGCCTTCGGCCTCTTTTCAGGGTCTTTAGCCCCTACTCAGCTCTGACCCCAGGCCTGGCCCTCCTGCCTCTCTCCCCTCCACTGAGCAGTTTTGTTCTCCACCCACCCAGCCGCAGGGCTCCTGCCAGAGCGAGCTGCACCGGGCTCTGGAGCGGCTGGCCGCCTCGCAGAGCCGCACCCATGAGGACCTCTACATCATCCCTATCCCCAACTGTGACCGCAACGGCAACTTCCATCCCAAGCAGGTGGGTCTCCAAGTCTTGCCGGCTCAGCCCTGGCCTCTGCTCCAGGGGCATTCCTGGCCTCTCCACAGGACAGTCCAGGATGGTGATCTCAGGAAGGGAAGTCTCTCCAACTCAAACCTAACCCCTTGGACCCTCTCAGAACTCTACCCTAGCCTCAGAACCTCATTGACTTTGGAGATGAGGAAACTGTGATGCAGAGAGGAGTAAAAGGGCCTGGGCTGGCCCAAAGTTACAGTGTGGGTTAATGGCAGACTCTGCCTCCCCACCCAGGGCTGTTTCCCTCACTGCTGGAGTCACTGTCTGTGGTGTAGACCTAGCCCCCCTGCCAACCTTCTGCTCCCAATGCTCTCGCTTGCCCTGCTCTATTCCTATGAGTAGTTCTTCCTGTCCCTGAATGTCTGAGGTTTCATCTGGGAACAGAGGGCCTAAGTTATGAGGGGTCAGGGAGGAAACTCAGCCTACCCCTTCTTCCACCTGGGTGTAGCAAGGATAGAGAGGAAGCCACAAGGGACAGCTGGAGACAGGCACTTTGGGTGAAAGCAGAGGAAGAAGTAGGCAGGAGAGAAGGCACAAAGGCAGCAACCTCCCTATCCCCTCCTGCTCTCGGAACCTGGAGTTCCCTGACAAGTTCCCAGGAGGCTGGGATGTTCGACAGGGGTGGCCTGCTCCAGCCCATCTCTGGCCCATCAGAAGGGTGGCCTGTCTGGGTAGAATGCTGGGGTGCTTCTTGCTGGGTGTGGCCCGGAGATCCCTGGCCTGGATCTCCTTCTCTAGCTCTTTGTGAGTATAGAACCCCCAACTCTCCCACTCTGTATACTGTGGAGAGATCCACATTGTGAGCTGCTGTTTGGCCCGGAGAGGCCTTGGTAGGAGGACAAAGGCTGCCTCTGCATCTGCATGTCCCAGGATGCCATGAAGAGGGTATGAGTGGAGGACCACAGAGGGCTCTCCAAAACCAATTCCTCACCTATCTCCAACCTTTATCCCAACACCGATTTTACCCTTGTCCCAATTTTTAAAACTTTTTCTACTAATTTTTTTAAAAGGTGAATAGACTTTTTTTTTTTGAGGTGAGTCTCACTCTGTTGTCCTGGGTAGAGTGCAGTGGCATCACCATAGCTCACAGAAGCCTCCAACTCCTGGGCTCAAGTGATCCTCCTGCCTCAGGCTCCCCAGTAGCTGGGACTACAGGAATGTGCCACCAGACCAGCTAATTTTTTGATTTTTTTGTAGAGACAGGGTCCTGCTCTTGGTCAGGCTGATCTCAAACTCCTGACAAGTGATCCTCTTGCCTCGTCTTCCTAGAGTGCTAGGAATGCAGGCATGAGCTACCTCGCCCACCCTGTATTCCAATTCTGTTTCTGACCTGGGCTCTAACTCTCACCCAACTGAAGTTTTAGTCATAATTTCTAATTCAGTTGCAACTTTTATCTTGATCCTACCTTAAGCCCAAGTTGGATCCTGCTCTTAACTCTAATCCCATTCTTAAAGTCCTGACCTAGTTGGAATACACCCCTAAGACCTCTCTAACCTGGACCCAGCCTTTCAAATCTAGCTATGCCTCTAAACCCCAGGGTCTTCTGGGGTCCTGCCTCCTGAAACTCTCTGGACCTTTCCTTCTTGGCCAAGTTCTCCCTACTCTAGTGAGCTCAGAGGACCTGTACTCAGAAAAGAGTACCCACCCTTAGAGGCCACCTTGGAGCAGCTGTCTGATGTTAGGGCTGGGCTGGGACTGGGGAGGGCTGCTGGGAATCTTCCTGCCTGGGAACTGACCCCTCATGCCCTTGTCTTGGCAGTGCCACCCGGCCCTGGATGGGCAACGAGGCAAGTGCTGGTGCGTGGACCGGAAGACAGGGGTGAAGCTTCCAGGGGGCCTGGAGCCGAAGGGGGAGCTGGACTGCCACCAACTGGCTGACAGCTTCCGAGAGTGAGCCCTGCCAGCAAGCAGGGGGCTCAGTGTCCCCTGCCACCTCCATACTCTGGAGGCTGCAGAGCTGACCTGGAGTGAAGTTTGGGTCTGAGTCCTGGCTCTGCCTCTGGCCCAGAAGTTTCCCTTGGGGTGTGTGTGTATGTACATGTGTGTGTGTGTTTATGGGCATGGGTGTGACCTTGTGGTGAACCTGGGGTGTCCTCTTTGGGCTTAGACAGCCCAAGAGGTCTGAGAAGGGCACTGCAGAGCTCTGGTGTGTTTCCACATTGATCCCAGATTCATTCATTCATTCATCCAGCCATCTAAAAACATTTACCGACCACATAGTATGTGCCAACTCTACTTTTCAGCCTCGGGAGCTCTTGTTCTGACCTCCTCTGATTTTGGCATGTGGGGACACTCCTATAAGGTGAGCTCAAGCCTGTGGGGGAAGAAAAGCTTCATTCCCAGAGTCAGAGGAGATGAGAGAACTTATACCTTGGGCACTGCCTTCCCCTCAATCTAGCCAGAGTGTGGTGGGAACCTAGGGAGGGGTGGGGTGGCAGAAGGCTCGATGGTCGTGAGACCCAGGCGACTCCCAAAGCTGAGGCTTGCCAGGCACCCCTCCTTTTCTTCTCTGGGTCCCATGGAAATGGACCTTCAGAGACAAGTCCACCTTTGGGTCCGGTGTCATGCCATCTGCTTGGTTGCTTGGCAGCCCAGACCCTGCTGTGAGGGAGGGAAGAGGGGTCAGAGGAAGGTAGGAGAAGTGGGGCCTATTTCTTTGAGCAGTCAGGGTGGGAAGAAAGAATAAAGGATTGGCTTGAGTGTGCCCCATGGAGAAGAGGACCCACATGCAGGGGGATGAGGGGGTTTGCCTGGGCTCCTGTCCCCTACTCCATTTATGGTCACAGCTATGAAGTCACCAGGATGACCCCATCCTCCCAGTGGCTCACAGCCTGTGGCTCTGCCTCCCTTCCCATATGTCCTTCCCCTACACCCCCCTCCCCACACCTTCCTACTCTCCTGGGCATTTTCTGGCTTGACTGGATGGAAGGAGACTTAAGGACCTACTGGTTGGCCATGATGTCATTTCTTTTTTTTTTTTTAAACAAAATAGAACAAAGCCAAAAAATATCCTGATAATTGTGTTTGGTTGATTTATTTACAATTAGACACAGGGATGCACCAGGGGTGGAGAGAGGGGGACAGATTTTGGGAAGTGGGCACTGTGTGGTCCCCAGACCTGCTTGCATGGTAGATGACAGCAAAAGGATGGCCAGTCTACCCTTTCTTCCCCAAAGCCTCTTCCTAGGGGACACCCTGTCTTCAATGTCTGGGCTGTTTGTTCTCAGACTCCTGGGGGGTAAACAATGGGTTTTGAAGGGAGGGAGTGACATAGAACAGCCTTGGTGGGCCAGAGCTGTTTCTGGGATCAGCTGGTATGTGGAGCTGGGGCATTTCCTAGGGCATCAGGCAAATTTGGTTTGCATCTGGATTTGATTTATTAATTTTGGGGGAGGCAGAAACACTGCTTTGCAGTTGGGGAAAGAGGGTAAGCTCTCCAACACATTCCACAGCTCTGAGTGCCTAGACTTCTGACCAGGGGGTTGTGCTGAGATTTGATTCTGAGGGGCTGGGAGTGGGGTACCCTTGACTTTGCCGTAGACTCAGTGCCAGCCCCAGCTTCAGAATTTGTGCTCACATGATATGCCTGGATTCTTGGCCATGCCCCAAATGCTCCTCCCCTTCTCCCACTCCTCCGTGTGTGTGTGTGTGTGTGTGTGTGTGTGTGTGTGTGTGTGTGTGTGTGAGTGGGTGGTGGTAGGGGTGGGTGGGTGGCGGCAAGGATGAAGAGCTGATCTCTCAGATGGGGGCCCCTTCTCGATGCTCCAACCTCACACCCTTGGCAATGAGGGATAGGAGGTTCTTTTTCTTTCATGGGACTCCAAAAAGCCAGGGTCTGCCTAGAAGTAGCTGCATATATGGCTGGGGGGGTGCCTGTGTGATATACATGTATTTCTGGGGTGTGTGTGTATGTGTGTGTGCAGGTGTGTGAATGTAGCATAGTGACACCTGAGAAGGAATGAGAGTGTAGGCTTTTACAGGGTGTGTGAGTTTCCTGTATGTTGTGGGTCTGGGTGTGTGTAGGCGAGGTGTATGTTTGTGTGGTGTGTACATGTGGGCTATGTGAATCTGAGTGTGTGTGACCGAGTGTGAATGTGCCAATGTGAGGAGAGGGAATGAGACATTCGCAGAGTATGTACTTCCCTCCCAGCTGTGAATGCGTGGAACCCTCTCATTAGGTGTCCCCATAGCAGGGTTTGTGGGGAGCTGCTGAGCACCAGCGAATAGAGGACGTGTACTTTTGGGAAGGGAAGTCCACATCCTATAGGAACATTGTACCCACCCTGGCCACTTGCCCACACAATCCTGGAGTCGGGTCCCACGTGTTAAAAAGAAGGAAATAAGAACAACCTCGTGTTTGCACCCAGGCCCCCCACCTTGGATTGGTGGGAATACCCTTGAACAGTCCCTTTAGTTGCCACAGGGATTGTCAGCACCTCTGGGAGAAGTGGCAGGGAGGTGGCGAGGACCTTATGTCCTGGTGGAGCCCCCAGACCTGGGCGAACTTGAGAATTGAAGTCCTTGAGTGTCCTGCCTTCCCAAGAAATGTCATTCCCTCCCAGGGCTGAGAGCAGGGGGATGGGATGGGGGCACCCTGCCTGCCCAGATCCCCTAGCCCAGTGGTGCTGATGTACATCAAGCATTTGGTTTCCATTTCCCAGCTCATTAGTGGAGATCAAGCCCTGATGTCGGCTGAGGGTTGGGAGCTGGGTTTTCAGCTGACAAGAAGGCAGGGTGGGGGCAGGGACTACAGACTGAGACTTGGACGACTCCAGCCTTCAGGTGGGGAGTCTCTGGAGAGCTGGTTTGATCCAGCTGCTGCCATCCCTTCAACTCCTTCCAGGAAAAGGCTACTTGTCCAACCCCTCCACCTCTGGGCCTGATTCTGCCACCAGGCTGCTCCAGGAATGTTACCAGGCATGCAGGACTTGAGTGCCTGCTCAGACCTCCTTTGGGTTGGGGGCTATATGGCTGTGTGGTAAATGACCTGCAACATTCCGCTACATTCCAGGCCCCCCCTGGCACCCTCTGACCTGGAAAGAGAAGGTCAAGGTGATGAGAGGTGGGGCTGGGATGTTGGGTCTCTAGGGAAGGTGGGAAAGGGACAGTTTATGAGACTCAGGGGAGGAGGACAATGTGGAGGAAGCATATTTGAGGGAAGGGGGAGGGTGGGATTGGAGCAGACCTCTGGGCACACCCATGGGGGAGCAGACATGGCTCCAGCCAACCAAGGGTCTAATTAGAGCCTCTCTTGGAGTGACCTGTCCCCTCTTTGTCTGAGGCCCCAGGGGCTGGAGAGGGCCGGGGTTAGGGAGTAGACGTGGGAGGGGTGGCTGTGGATAATTAGAAACATGCTCTGTTGAGTGAGCAGGCGCCACCAGGACCGCCCCTCCTCTGTACTCCCCCCTCTTTTCCTCAGGTTCCCAACCCCCTTCCCCTCCACCTGGACAATCCCCGCCATGCTGGGGAGGCCTGGCACAGCCCGGGAGCAGCAGTGGCTTCCCAGGCCCTTACTCAGTCTCTAAAGTGCAAACAACATATTTTCGCCATGCAATGGTATTTAATTACACATAAAAACAGAGCCATTAAACTGAAATTAAACCCTTGTTGGAATCACTTAATTCAGGGCATGACAAATTGCTTTCAGTGGAGGCGGCAGCACAGTCCCCCAGGGGAAAGAGGGAGATTAGCAGCTTCCCTGGCCAGCTGGGTCCCTCAGTCCTCTTGGCCCCCTTGCCAGCTCTAAATTCTGAAATTTGAGTCAGGGCCCTCTTCTTGAAGACCACCCAAGCCAAGGGGAAGCCTCTGGGTTTGTTCAGGATGACAGGTATGGAGGGTTGGGGAAGCACAGAATCACTATCCAACCCAGTTTTAGACAGCCCATTCCATTTTGTTGATGGGGAAGTTGAGGCCCAGACACCAAGATCATTCAGAGCCAGGATTAGAACTCTGGCACCAAGCTGTGAACAGAGGGGCTGTTTTTTTCAGGCTTGTATTTTTTGATTCTGGGCCTGAAGACAGAGGTTGGGGCTGGGCAGATGGGGGTTGGGAACCAAGGCAGATCCTGCATGGGGAGGGCAGACTTCTCCACCTGGTGTGAGTCTTCAGACAGCAGGCCAGGCAACACAGCCCTGGGTTTGGGCTGCTGAGGCAGCCTTCACTTCCTGGAGGGCAGCCTGGCACCTAGAGTCTGGAATCAGACAGACCTGGCTGCTTACCACCTGGGCGAGGTTGGGCAGGTGTTACTCCTGGGAGCCTCGGTTTTCCCTCTGTCCAATGGGGTTAGTAATTCCTGTCCATGGTGTTATGAAGACCAGTGGGCATGATGCACAGACAGGCTTGGGGCTGAGCTCAGTAATTTCTGCTAGACTTCTTTCTCTGGACGTCAGTTTCCCCATTTGTAATAAGATCCAGCAGGATCCTGATGGTTTCTAGAATCTTCTCTTGCTCTCTTTATGTTTGCAGCCTTTTTTCTTCCCTCCAGCCCCCTCCTTTCCTTCAGTTTCCCTTTTCTTCTTTCCTCTGTGGTTTGAATGTCTAACTATGGACAGAGGTCTGGGGTCTGTGGTCAGACTACTGGGCAGGAAAGGGAGGCCCACTCTCCCTAAGGTATCCCTGCCACACTTGGTCTTCTGGGGCTGTGCCTGAGGTGAAAGGAGGCCAAATGGGGACAGGGCGCTGGGGGAGGGGGCACTGGTAGGGCCACAGTGAGGTTCGGCTGCATGTTGTCTGTGGCCTCCCTCGCCTGTATCCTCTATGATCTGGGAACCTGTTTTCCTGATTAGAACCAGATGGGTCTGCTGTGGTCAGAGGCCTAAGCAGTCCACTTGCTCAGTGTCCTCCCCCAGGAGCGGAGATGGGGGAAAACAGGATAAGTGGAGGTACATGTTAGGGGGCCCTCTTTACTGGGGCTGGGTGCAAGAGCCCTTCTTCTCTTCTCCCTACTTTCCAGGCTTCTGGCCTGGAGACTCTTCTATTAGCCCATGAGGGGTGGTCAGCTGAGGACAAGTCTCTCACTGAGGCTTGGGTGTGCAGTCCTCTACCTTAGGATGACATCCTCTATGAGCAAGACCCTCCACCTCCCTACCCCGCTTCCCTATCCTCGAAGCTCAGCTCAGCTGTAGGTTGCCAAGTGGGGGCTGACCACATCTGTCCCCTGGTCTTCTGGAGTAATCTCAAGGTCATTCCCCTCACCCCTGGCCTTAGCATCAGAGAGGTTCCTGCACTGGGCCCTGGAGTGGGAGGGTCCAGGGTTCCTGTTGTTTCAGGCCCGACAGCTACCTGGCTGCAAATGGCTCCCTGGCTGGCTGGCATCTTGCAGAAATTTCTATAGCTGCACCTGGAGAGCCTTGAGACAGAGGTGGGGAGTCCCAGAGACACAGTGGGGCACACAGGGAGAGCCAGGGTGGGTGGAGGACAGGCCAAGGCAGCTGCCCACCAAACCCAGGGTGCTGAGAGTGAGAATGACAAGGAGGCTTGAGCTCTGCAACAAGCCTACCCAACTTGCAGAGGATGGGGTGGGGGCTTTCTGAGGAGGATGGCTGGGGGCAGGGGGCTGCTTGGCAGGGTAAGGCTCAGGGTCTCTGCCTCCCTTCCTGGTTATGGTTTCTGAGCACAGCCAGAAACTTCTAAGTTGAGGCAGCAGGGAGGGGAGTTCAGCCTCGTCCTCACCCGGGGGAAATTAGACCAGACTGCTCAGGAAATAAATTAAATTTTCCAGCATCATGGAAGGTTAGTCAGACAATAGAGGATTTCCCCCCCCCAAAAAAACCTAAAAAAAAAAAAATCCAATTGCCTTTGGCTGAGCTGTTTCCCAACTTCATTTCTCAGCCACAGTTTCAGGCTTCTCATAAGTGACATGTGACTGCTGGGTGACCCTGGCCTGGTTGGCCGGCCTGTGAGGGGTCAGGCCAGGCCAGCACAGAACCCGTGCTGGTCCCAGAGCCTGGGACCACCCCCACTCCCAAAATCCCTCCAGGATCTGTTCTGGAGACAAGCAAGGCCTGCAGGACCCT